AAATTGTGTATTTATTTATTTATAAAGTTTTTAGCAGACAGTCAATAGGTTAGTTAGTACCCTGAATTTGAATAGTCACAACTAAATAATTCTAAGTAAGTGCTTCATCTAAGGGATTTGATCATAATCAAACCAAATATTTTGATTTTTTTTCCCCCAGGGGCTCTGTCAGTTTGACTATGATCACCTTCCTAAGCCAGAAAAAAAAATGTCATTTTATAAATTTAAAATATCTAAAATGAGCCTAAAATTTAAAATACTTGTTTTGTCTATCAATAATGAGCCTGTGCTAACTTACACCAATATCTCTTGAATTATCTATATGTACAGCAATCACAACTGGAACCATTGCATCACTACAAGTCAATGTTATTGACTTTGTTTTATTCCTGTCTTCATCACCGGATTCCCAGAATGTCTCTGTAGAACTGTCTGTAAGGCTGGATAACATTGCTGCTCTGCTAGATACTTGGATATCAGCTACTGATGTTAGGTCTTTGAGACAACTTACTGTGACAACAGACTGTGGAACACAAATGTACAGCATTAAGCATACCACTATCTTGGTTGTGATTATTAGATAAACCAGCCAGACAACGTGGAAATAGTATTTCTACTATAAATAATATACCACTGCTCATACCCTACTGAAACATCCTTTACTGTATAAAAATCACTTTATCAATATAGAGATGTAGTTATCATACAATTTTATGTATGAACAAGGTGTTTACATCTTTCCCACTAACACACACTGATGGTATAATCTAACAATGAATCCCTAGCAGCATATTATTGTTCAGAACACCCGGACACAAACCTAGATAGTTAAGCTACCACTCGTTTGCTATGAGTGTTCCAAGATGGTTTATGTGATTGGGATAAGTTATTCAAAAAAACTTTAGAGATGAGAGAGATGTAACTAGAGATCTCTAAACTAGAGATGTAAATATTGTTATCCAAGCAAATGACAAACAGAAAAGTTAACCCAAAATAATAAACAAAATGTATGTTATGACAAATGTCAGGACACTGGTGCATGTCAGGACAGGGTCACATGTCTAGCACTGCTATTGCATCAATTAATCACTGGGTTTTAATTTTGCTATTTTCACTGATAAATCAAATCAAATGAATTAAAGTCATATGTAACATTACAATGAAATGCATTGTTTCACTGGTAAATTCATGAACTTAAAAACCCAATGAATATGCTCAAAATATCAAAATTAGTGAAAATAAATGGTTTTAAAGTACTTAGCATAACTCTAGAAAATAGAGTTAGCATGCTTTTAGCTGAACCTTGTACAATGAATTGATTTAAGCAGTTCTAATCACTTCTCAAGATGCACATAAACTAACCAGCAAAATAGCTGGCAATGTTGCAGTCCAGAAACAATATATATGGAGTGACTGTAATATTCATTCTTTCTGAAATTTCTGAAACACCAGCTCACGACATGATCATTTCATACAGTAAACGCACTGAGCGGAAAGGAAATCAACTCTTCCCAACCCAATACTGTAAAATACATTTTAGCTGGAATTAATTTTCGCTGAAAAGGCTTTTTGGGTGTTTTGTATAAAATTTATTTTCACTGATTCTTGATGACTTGAATGTAAAATATAGGTAACAGTATATTTGCTAAATTTTATTTTCACTGAATCACCCCTTCAGTGAAAATAGCGAAAACAAATTCTGAGCGAAAAATATATTTTTATATTACCAGAAAATACTGTAAGCATGTCTTTTTCGCAAGCATGTCTTTTTAACAAATTTAGCGGGAGAACTGATTCGCTAATTCAAGATTTCACTAATGACTTTATTATAAATTCAAAATGGCCAAGGCTTGGAGATTTGTATACAGTAATCCGGAACATAAAAATCTGGGGTGCTTCCTAATTACACTTGACAGTTTTTCTTTGTTTTTATGGAGGTGATAACTGCGCATTAGTTTTGACACGCGACAGACAAGTATTGTGAAAACAGGGAATCATCAATGACAAGAGAGATTCGCTAAACCAACATTTCGCTATTACGTCATTTTACCACAATTCCCTAAAATTGCATGTCGCTTTTTTAACATGTTTTACAATAATCCCTAATCGTCTTACCTGTTCTGATGGAAGTACAATCTCACCAATAAAACTAGCACTACTATTGAGCATTACATCATCGGTATCGCCTTCATCTGACTTGGATAATATTTTACTAATGTTGCTGAACACATGCGAATGGTGTAAGAAGACGTGATCTGATGGGCGGAATCGTAGACACCAACATCTGATAGCCATTAATTGTAGAGCGCTACCATGAGGTAATAACATCATAATATCAGATATGGTTTGTAATAAAGAATGAAAGGCAACACCCAAGGGATTTATCGATTCGCCACCTATGGTGATATCAGCTAACGGGTGATCACACATTATAACGTCTTTATCCTAAAAAGAAATAAAAAATGTTATATTAATATATCAGTAATAATGCTGAAGGTATCAATTACTCATGTGGTTTATTATAATATGATCTCTGTTTTTATATGTAAAAACAAACAGACCCAGCCTTGGCATGATAATACAAGCATTTAGTACTACACTGACACAAGATCATTTCAGATGATGGAAACAAAACATTAACCTAAATAATAAGCAAGTAATTAAGGAAACAGTTATGTAAACTCAGTGTAGGCTCTGAAAGAATGTACTACATTAGTAATATAATAGTAATAAAGTATTATATTAAGCTATATTAGTAATGAGAGAGATAATTTCACTTCGAAATTTAACAGTGGTTCTTAAAGGGGCACCTTCCAGTTTAATTTCACAACAAATTTACTTTCTGGATTAAAATAACAATGGACAACAAAAGATAGATTAACATTGTAAACAACATAAACAATAGTGTCCCATGATTCTTTGGTGCAATCCATGGGATTGAGCGGTTCCCCTTTAAGGCTTTCACAACTACGACAGGGATAAAAATAAAACCATGTCCATCTTACCCAAGGCACTGGCACAAATAATGATTTTTTAATTTTTGGTCACTTGCTGAATGGGAAATAAATATTTTACATACCCATGCAATTTGCTACAGCTTGAATAAAAACAATCAAACTTGTTTGTGTAACTTAGTTTCATTTTCCAAAATAACATTTTGTTTTTAATTTCAAACCCTTGATACAAATTTATTAATGATAACATTTTAGATTCTATGATGTTGCTTTTTACCATCACATAAAATTAAAAACAAAGAAAGATTAACAAAATCACTTACTGGGTCTGGTTGATCTTTCTTATTGTTTTCAGCTGTTTCTTCTTCCTTCTCTGGTGGTACAGGCATTAAAGATGATACAAAATGCCACAAGAGATCATGCAAACAGGTGGCTTGAGTAACATTACGTAATAACCAATTAAGTGCCTGAAAACACAGTATAAAGATTTTCTTAAGGTAGAGATGCAGTTTACCTGACAGGTATTTTAATTAGTTAATTAGGAAACCAAGATGACCTCCCTTGTCCAAAAAACTATTTATTTTCGGAAAGCTTATTGTATGAATTTTAAAGTTTTGTTAGTATTTTTTTTATGGATACTGTAGTTTGAAATGTGCACAAAAATGTGCTTTTTTGGTCAAAAATTATTTAAAAAAAATTAGCTTCTAAACCATAATT